CCCAAAAAGACAGACTGGTTGAGGTGTGTGCCTAAATGAGCCAAACCCGGGCTGGAAGGCTTCTCGGATAACGGTAAATGGTGTGACACCACACAAAATAGCCATATTGAATAATACGTAAAACAAAAACTGAGGCACCAATATTTTACCAAAATGCATTAGGTGTAACCGCCCATGGACGTTATTGTCACAAGCACTTATCTCGTCAGACTCCAGCCAGTCCGAAAACTCATGCTCCGTCCATCCGTGGACGAGCTCAAGCAGTGGGTTGTGGTTGCTGAGTCCCGTGTGGTTGTCGACTACTGCCCCGACCGAACTGGGAGCAATGCCTACTGGCGTGACCCAACTGCTGGCAGTTCCAGCAATGCGGGCCGCTGCCAGGGGTTCAGCCACAGTTGGCAAACAGTCCGTGGCCTGATGGCCTCCTCTCGAATTGGGCGTTGTTGCCAATGTTGGATGCACGGATATTCCTGCCTGGGTATGGTATCTCAGGTTGCAACCATTCTCTGGATTGTAATTGTCTGAGCCGACGACCTGTGGAGGCTGCCTCGGCGAGTCTTTTGTCGTCCGCAAGGCTGCCACCCAGGGTGCCCTCCTCGTAGACTCTCACTGTTTCCCAGTCAAAGGAAACGGCTATTTTGAGTTGTTTCTGCCTTTTACAGATTTCATTCTCACCCTGCCTCAAGAGCATCCGAGCATCATGGCCTCAGGTGCGGAGTCCAATAGTATGGCGGCATCAACCTTTTGCAACACCGTCTTGTTGGTGACAAACTGAGGCTGTAGCCCTGCCGACTCGAGCTTTTTCTGGGCTTGGCTTTGATAACTTGTCAGAGACTGCGCTGCTTTTAGTATGGCCACCTAAGCTCGGGCCGCCGTGGCAGGTGAGGCGGCGGAGGTGGCAGCTGGGTGTAATCTTGCAGTCCTGGCTAGCTCAGGAGGAGCTAGATGAGCCTCGGTTCCATGGTTGCGAGTGGACATTGGCATGTTGAAGTATTTGGACCTAAAAAAACTCCAAGCTAGAAACAGAAGACCAAGGTGGCAGGTGAGAGAGAGAGAGTTGCACAGTGGAAGAGCAGCAGTGCACGAGAGAAAATAGTGATTGAAAAAATACGTTTTACACTCTTACGCTGAGCTCAGCCGTGAAAAAAAAACACATTCAGGAGCAGTAGATTTAGCACGAGCAGAAAGGATCACTGCGAATACAGACTTTCAGTTGTGCACCTTTCTCTGATGTGATAAAGCACCTGCGCGTCATAGATAACCGCATAAATTAGTTTCACCCGTGGGCTGGTGAGAAAAGTGACGCCGTGAGGCATTGCCCTTTTGCAGCTCACTCTCAGCAACATCTCGTGGTATACAGTTTTGAGGAACAACGATGCAACCATGATAGAAAGAACTTCAGTGCTTCCTCGGCACAAGTGAGTTGGTTGTAGTGCTCTTAACAAGGTTGTACATTGTGTGTGTATGTGTGCGTTTGCATCTGTGTGTGTGTGTGTGTGTGTGTTTGTGTGTGTGTGTGTGTTTGTGATTGTATGAGTGAGTGTGTGTGTGTGTGTGTGTGTGTGTGTGTCTGTGTGTGTGTGTGTGGTGTGTTTGTGTGAGTGAGTGAGTTAGTGAGTGTGTGTGTGTGTGTGTATGTGAGTGTACTTTCTCCGTTAAGCAAAACTTTGTTCCGTTTTTGTGTTATTGTAATTGTCTTTCTGTCGGCATTAGACAAACATGTCAGTGATCTATCCCCTGCAAAGACTAGCCGCAGTGTGGCCTTTGTTGTGACAGGCTTTTGAACCTCCGAAAGCGTGGAGTCCTTGAAATAATCGGCGAAGCATAACCATTTCTTGACAGGATGTCACCAGAACACAACCCAGGCGCATAACACTGAGGTGCGAAAATAAGAAACAGTTTGAAAGACCGCGTGGATCGAAGAAGGGCCCAGATTTCATACAGAAGCCGGCCAGCCACTGCTGCATCTGCACGATGGTACGCGTTCACCCACAGCCAAAATAAATCAATGCACGTGTGTTTGCGGCGCAGGGGAAAGCAAAAGGGTTCGACATTCAGGTTGTTGTTCAGCCTGCGCAAAGTCCCGATCTCAACGTCGACGACTTTCTTCCACACCCTGAAGACAGACGTGTCACTTGTGGCGAAGGAAACCCTAAAGGAACTTCTTGGCTGTGGAAACATGCTGGCACGAGTACCCTGCTTCTAAGATGAGGAGCGTTCGGCTGTGTCTGTATGGCTCTTTTCATGGCTTTTGGAGAGTCTGAGCAGCAGAGTCACTGGAGGTGAGAGTCAGCAAGGATGCGGATTTGATGTCATCAAGGAGTGAGTCCTCATCAAATTCAGACGAAGAATGAAGCTGACTGCTTTCAAGGCCATGCTAGTTTGGGGATTTCAGGGGGTGTCAGGCGTTGGGCGGTTTAATAGCCAATTGAGCCATCTTTCCAACATTCCTTTTGAGTCTCTCTCCCCTCCCCCGGAGCGACTCACGTGACCAGTTTTGGCAGTGAGCAAGTACAAGTACAAGTGGGTGTGCGTGTGCGTGTGTGCGTGCTTGCGTGTGTGTATGTGTGAGTGTGCGTACATACTTGGGTGTGTACGCGAGTATTTGAGTTTGCTAGCCTGCGTGCGTTTCTTTGTGTTTGTGTGTTTCTTTGTGTGTGTGTATGTGTGTGTGTGTTTCTTTGTGTGTGTGTGTGTGTGTGTGTGTTTCTTTGTGTGTGTGTGTGTTTGTGTGTGTGTGTGTGTGTTGGCGCGCGTGCGTGCGTGCGTGCCTGTGAGCAAAAAACAGAAAATCGAAAAATTAAAAATAGGGATTCACTGGCCAGAAAAAGCCACTTCAATCAGCTGCGTGGTGGATACCAGGCTAAAATTAGTTGCGGTCAAATCATCAGCCTCACAAGCTGTTGAATGATGTGATCCTAGCACAAGTTGCTTCCGCGATGCGTCAGGCGAAATAGCACGTCATAGTACATTCGAGATCAGCGGGAAGAAGGTGACGACGTCCACTAATTAAGTATCTGTGCACACGAATCTGCTGTGTGTGTTACTCTGTGTGTCAGCTATGGCATCATCGCCTGTGGTTCCATGCCTAGCATGTACGTTTGAACCATCCTGCAAAGGTTGAATGACGTAGGTTGAGCGATCGCTCCGCGAAACATACTTTTCGAAATTCTCTTCATAGTATATCTTCCACCATTGAAATTTCGAATTTCTTCGAATTTTTTGCTGAGAGGGGTGGCTTGCAACCTCGATATGGCTTGTTCCAGGCATGCTTTGGAGCCATCGACTGTTGAAGTAGTGGCGGGGATCTGCCCTGCAACTGCTACAACAAAAAATGATTCGATCTGAGAAAGGGTGAGACCGCGAATCTCGGTTGAATATTGAGTATTTCAAGCCTTTTCACGACGAAGATGGAGTTCTTTTTGGAGATGGACGTCGCGGCAAAGGACATGGTGTCCGACTTCTGGCGTCTGGTGAAGCCAGGGATCATTTGTCCAGTCAGGTCGGCAGCCTAATCGTCGGTAAGTTTGTGTTTGGATCCCGTTCTGCTCGATGTGGTAGATCACAAACAATTTTGATATCGCACAAATTGATCTCAGCATCGTGCGTACGGTATTTCATATTCATAAAATCCCAAAGTGTCTCTGTGTGGCCGTCCTAGGCCACGAGAAACTCAAATCAGGCTCCTATGTCCTCTGCCTTCATGATTGAACGTCCACTTCGTTTGAACAACGAACACAACAATCGAGGACGGCTTTGCAATGAAAAATACAGCTATACTGGAGCTGAAAAAAAGAATAAAAAAACGTGCTCAGGATGAGACTCGAGTACACGCATACTCTCCCAGCAGGTGAAACGCAAATTTTTGTGAAAAATGCGTGTCGCGGACTGACCAGTAATTTCGCCTGACGGGCATGTCTGAGTTCTGAGTGTGTAACTGTGTGTGTGTGTGTGTGTGTAGCATTATGGTGATAATGCAGAATAATGGGTGCACGCAGCTTTGTGCTACCGCTCAATCTATGCTGCTACGTTTAATAGTGCTGTTACTGCATGCCCATGCTTTGCTGCTGGCTATGGTCTCTGTGCGGCTTGGCACTCTGCATGATATTGAATGCATCTCTCTACGTGACATTGAACGTGTCTCTTTACGTGACGTTCATGCGTGTCGCTCGCCTCCGATGTGGGCAGCGTCAGGCGGTGTCATGATGACGTTTGCTTGTAGCGCTCAACGTGGGTGGCATGCATCGTTCCATAGAGTTTGCTCTGTTATATATTTCCATCCGTTCTGTGCGATGATCATTCTTGCTTGCTCGTAGTGTTTCACCCTCCCACCTCCCATTTCTCATCACTAATTTGCTTTGATAAAGTGAATAAACGGGGTGTTGGCCACGCTCATTTCCGGCTACTCAGGGCCTCGGTCGCCGTTCCTCGGACGCAAACTCTTGTAGATACTTGGCTCCGCCAACATTCTGCTCCGGCAGTGTCTATCCAGCCGACCCTGAATCCTCTCTCGTAGATACTTGGCTCTGCCAACATTCTGCTCCGGCAGTGTCTACGTCTTTCTTTCCGTAGCCTCTCACTCCGCTGGTCGGCACTCCCCGTCCCGCAAGTTGCTGTGTGTTGTAGTGAATATGCGTGTGCGTGTGCGTGCGTGTATGTGCGAGCATGCAATCGTCTGTGTGTTTGTGTGTTGTCTGTGTTGGTTTGTGTGTTTGTGTGGATGTTTGTTTGAGCATGATAGCATGTGTGTTTCTTTATCTGTGTGTTTTGTTTGTTTGTGTGTTATGTGTGTGTATGTGTGTATGTGTGTGTATGTATCTGTATGTGTGTGTGTGTGTGTGTGTGTGTGTGTGTGTGTGTGTGTGTGTGTGTGTGTGTGTGTGAGTGAGCATGTCACCGTGTGCGTGTGTGCATGTCACCGTGTGCGTGTGTGCATGCATGTATGTACGTATGCGTGTGCTTGTTTGTGCGTGCGTGCGCATTTGTGCTTGCATACTCAGGCTCTTCTGATGCTGGCAGCATGCTACTATGGCAGCATTCATTGTGTCCAGTTTTTACTCTGGTGTGATCCGTCGCTCTTGCACGGCAAAGTTATGTTCCGTCCTGGTAGTGAGCCACGAGTGGTGAGTACTGGCCGAAGTGCTTGGCGTGAAACTGTTTGTTTTGATCACTGGTTTGTTTATTCTGATAAACTGAGCATGTGCTCATCCAGTGTCACTTCGCTGTCAAAGATGTTCCTAGAATATTGAATGTTCCTCTGTTTGTAAATGTGGTGAACATTGCGCCTCAAAGCCCTAATAGAGTAAAAGCTGTAACTAAAGACCGGCACCGTGACTAACAGCCAGCCTGCTGCTACACACCACTTCGCCAGGCACGGACGGTCTCATGTACAAAAATGCACGGTGACAAGTAACTACCCGCTGAACGCATCCAGCGACCGCCTTTTCTTGTCCCAAAGTCGATTTTGACCAGTAACTAGCGACAGCATAGCACGAAATAAAAGGTTGTTCGAAGCTCCTTCTTCGAAATTTTGATGATTTTCTGTCTGAATGGACTCTTTCGATACTACAGTTCTGCTGATTCACATGATCAAGCGTATCACCCCAGCCGTAGCCAGCCGCTTGTACACTGGATATGCTCGACCTGTGGTTGAATACGCCTCATCCCTCTGGCAATTTTAACTCTCCAGTGCTCTGGCGACTACCCTAGAACGGCTACAGGCAAGAGTGGCACGTGTGATCCTGCGGCAGTATGGTGTGTACCCTCCTCAAACGGAGCCGAAAGCCTCACTTTTCGCGCACCTCCAGTGGCCCAGCCTCGCATGGCGAAGACACATTCAGCACCTTCTTGAGCTCCACCACCCTATCAATAGACAGATGACGACCTTGGAGGACCAAGGCTACTCAGTGTCAAACAGCGCCAGGCGCCCCAACATCTACTCCCACCTGCTAGAGGCAGCACACACACGTGTGCCACCTTTCTCTTTGTCACCACTCCCACATGGAACTCCCTCCCGGCTGCCATTCGTACTGTATCTAGCCCAAAAATGTTTTACCGCCCTTGTCCGCACACATTTTGCTATCATCCGTGATGAGCCCTCTGGTTTCATTCCAAGTAGAGTAGCGTTGTCATAGAGCAGTGTGTTATATTACTACCACCCCGCATCTTTCTATTTCCTATTTTTAGTTTTCTCCTCAGCTTCTTCTTCATAAGCTGTTGACGGAGACTCCCTCGACTTAGTCTACGGCCTGTGGAGAATCCATAAATACAAATACAAACCAACTAAAAACTCAACCAAGAGATGGTAGATAGATATCTACTGTATCGTCTCTTGGGCTGACCTTCTAGTTTTCATCGCTGCTGGTGTCTCTGTGCGCATCTGCAAGCGCGTCACCCTGCAAAACATCGCCAGCTTTTGTCTCCTTCAAGCTACGCTGCATTTCCTTGATTTTGTCTATCATTATATTTTGACGATCGCCTTCGCCTCTCCCTCGTGCAGGGCAACTGTCAGAATAGCTATAGGGGTTTACACCCGACGTTGCCCCGAAACCTTCAAATGAGGCGAACAGGTAAACCACCACGCACCAGATTACTTCTCATCACCTTGTTCCGCTTACTGACAGTCTGTGTCATACAGCCCGAAAGTATGCGCTCATCCCTGGTGTATGAATCAATGGGCCACTACCGGTAGTAGTACACTGTCACTGGAGACGAGATGGAGCTTTCACATTGGCTTGGTGCAACGATAACACCTCGCGGCTCCGAAAACTCCACACCATCCACGAACCGCATGCGCAGAAAACTTCACTGTTTGTTCATTTAAGTTTTCCAGCCAGTTTCTCGTGGGAAATGCGATTCCAGGGGTGGTTGTTTTTTTCGATCAGTTTCTCGGCGATCTTGAGTCGTCAGCCCCCACATCGTGGACGACTGCGAGATACATCAGTGAGCTGGACAACCCGATGATTGTGCTGCTGCACTAGTTTCTGGATGACGCGTTTGCAGAAAATTCTGCCCAGGAAACAGAGACTGCAGCGACTTTAATCTGTCAGGAGGGAATCAAGAACGATCGCCCTGGACTTCCTGGTACTCCGTGACAATTCTCCATCGTATTGGGGGGTCTTGATATCAGCACCAGGCCTTCTCTGTGTTGCAGGTGAAGCAACAAGCGTCCTCTGACGACAACATTTGAACGCGAAACGCACGAGTCGTCTAGGAGTTTGAGGTGCTGCCTCCTTTGGAGTTTTGAGCCATTCCTTCCTCAATGTCACAAATCGACAACTGAAGAACACTGTTAGGTAGCTGGGAAGTTTATTCCGCCCTGAGATAATTTTGATTTGCTTGGTATGCTTCGGAAACGAAGCGCACATTTTTAGTAATTCGGACCAAGTTGAACATAACCACTGGCCAGTGGGTATACTTTAGTAGAGGTACAACATATCCACTGGCCAGTGGGTATACTTTAGTAGAGGTACAACATAACCACTGGCCAGTGGGTATACTTTAGTAGAGCTACAACATAACCACTGGCCAGTGGGTATACTTTAGTAGAGGTGAACGATAAGGGAAAAGGTACTGTAGTTCTCCCAAGGGTACACAACCCCCCAGAGTGTGCTACTGCAGTTTTGTTGTAACAGGTTATGAGATGGCAGAACTTCACATCACATGACGAGCTTGCACACATGAATTTCACACTGTGCTTGATAGATAGAGGGTTGAACCCAATTCTGTTTTGGGTTCAAATCTCCTGTGGTCACTTTGCACTGCTTGCCAGCGTAACCTTTTGAACCACGAGTGATGTGAAGTTCTGGCATGGCAGCACTGGATAAAGGCTGTGTGGTCAGTTGTACACTCTTGGGGTTATGTACTCTTTGTATCACTAATCTGAGGTTATGAGTTCAGTTCATAGGCACCACTGATGCAAGTATTATTGTGAATTTTGTTTCAAGTTCCAGCCAGCATTTACTATATCCACGTCCTCTACGACACACACACTAAGATGAGATATGCTGTGTTCTTGGAGAAGTCAATTGTACTTCGAGTACATGTGCATGGTACTATGCTGCAATAGAAAGGAAAAATCTGGAACTTGTATGTTTTGCAAGTGATTGTAAGAATGTGTTTGTGGGTATGTGTGTGTTTGTTGCTATGGTGACCTAATAGAGCTGCCGCCCAGTATCACTTCTACATGTCTGCGCGTTCCGTGGACATAAAGCACTGTGTGAGCTGCTGATAAAAAATGGTGTCGACGTTAATGTCCAAAATGAGGTGAGCTTTGGAGGTGGAATGCACCAATCAAATGTGCTTTGCAACAAACTCTTGTGACATCAAGTATTTTTCAAGGACACCAAACCATTTGTCCTCATGTACTGAATATTGATGTGCGCATGGGTACATAATGCACGGCATCATGTATGCCCGGGCTGTAGCTGCCACATATTTGACTGGTCCGGAGAGACATTTTTAACTTAAAATGATATGACCGAATCAAGTTACTACAATGTACCAGTACATGTAGTGCACCTATACAGGTTATACAATTGCATCGTCAGTTGAAATGTTTTTGGCGAAGTCGCAGATTCGTGAGTGATCGTGGCACAGCGCCGCATATTAAACACATTCCAAAATCTGCTGACTCACCCTCGTATCTTAGTGTGTCCATTCGAAAATCTCTATGAAATCATTGGTATAACCTCTAGATGTATACGAATTCTCATAACTTGGAGAAAGATGATTGACACGGTCTTGTGTGGATTGAATAAACGTCTTCAGGCTGCGAAGTGCACTGAATGACCTCTCCGATGTGGCGTTCGTGGCTGGAAGAATAAGCAGCAGGTAAAACAACCAGCAGGCAGGAAATGACTTGTACAGCTGGTGCAAAGTGAGCAGCTCAGCTCCTTACAAATTACAGCCTGTTTGGGCGCGTTCCTGTCACTCCTTTGAACCTTTGAGTTGAACCTTGGTATAAAAATGTTGTAGCCTGCAGGCACGATGACCAGGTGACTGGTGTACGGACAAGCACGTGACCGCTTACTCACCCGTGTTTTATTTGGGAATAAGGGCCAAACGCTGCATCGCAGCCTTCTTGGAACAATACCAGTCGACTCAGCATCCAAAAGACTACAACATCTTATGGGCCAATCGTGTTCATCCGCGCTTTCATAAGAACGAACTGGCGCTTTTAGTGACATTTTGCATACAACCCCCCCCCCCCCCCCCTATGAAATAGTGGTTGCGACTTCGGCGATAATTTTTTTCTAGGAAAGGGTTTGCTGCCACACCGGAGTCAAGTGTCAAGTCAAGTCGTCGGAATATCGGGAGCTCCAGTGTGGGAGCAAACCCTTTCCTAAATCCCCCTCTGATAGGGTCATCCAGTTTCGGTGGAAGAGCGTGAGTTCGATTGGGGATAAAGGAGGAAGCGTCTCAAATTCCTCGGACCAAGACCATTCGACTCAGCATCCTGAAGACAGAAAGATGGCACTATAGACCAATCCCGAAAAGATTGTCTGGGTTCGAAAGGGGGCATGTCAACTGAGAGTACACTGTACAACACATACATGGCACTGGTAGTCCCTACCTGATCAGCATGCGGCACAGGACGTGTTTGATCGTTCTCGAGTGAATGCAAGGGTAAGTACACGGTTAATCCCTGCACCCGTAAATATGCAAGCACCTCCAAGTGAACCCGCACGCCCAGCTTGGGCACTCGTGCACCCTCGCAGTCAGACACAAGCGAACACATGCACGCACACGCCACTGGCGTACCCATGCTCTGACACGCAGACACCCGCATGACGTACCGCTCACTATGGCGTGCACAAACATACAATAGACACATTGGGTTGGGGGTTGCCAGGATTTCTTTTGGACAATTCAAATATTCAAGAATATGCTCTTTGATAATAATTGAGTGAGTGAAGATGCATGCCTGAAACTAGCATCCGCCCGCCAAGGGCGGACAAATGGCCACCGCGGCCAGCAGCTGCCCGCCGGGGGCTAAACTAGCATACTGCCCACCGAGGGCGCCCGAATGGCTAAACTAGCCGACTGCCCACAGAGGGCGCGCCTATGGCCGCCGAGGCCAGCAAACTGCCCGCTGAGGGCTAAACTAGCATACTGAACACCGAGGGTGCTTAAATGGTCGCCGCGGCCAGCAAACCGCCCGTCGAGGGCTAAACCAGCAGACAACCCATCGAGGGTGCACAAATTGCCATCGAGGGTACGCAAATTGCCACCGAGGCCAGCAAACTGCCCACCATGGGCCGATATTATCTTGCCAGTCGAGGCCACACAAACGGCCACCGAGGCAGCCAATCGCCCACTGAGGGCTCACACGACTGCCTGGCATCAGGCGTCACAACATACAGACATAATAGGAGGCCCGTTTGCCCCAAAAATATAGTAGTCCTAGAATAGTCAGGGAGCCGACCTTCAAAAAAGTGGCGCTCCGGGTCGGGCGAGATGGAGTACAAGATCTCTTCAGCAATGGGTTATGGGTCTATCAGAGAAGGGCTTTCGAGTTCTAGGCCATCCCAAAGCTGTGCACGGACATCGCGAGGACGCATTTTGTGCGACGAGCAAATTCACAATTGTCAAGCATTTAGGCGCAAATGTTTTTCGTTCTCAGCCGACTTCTCGGTTTGAGAAGTAGGTGCGCACGCTCAAAATTCCAAATCAGTGACTATGCGCCTGTCCAGAAGATGACGACGCTGCAAGCTTACTTTCTCAAAGCATGACATACATTTTCATTACGATTTTGGCTTTGAAAGTGAGAATAGTATTGCCATCGTCAGGTCCACTAGTCACGAAGCATGGCGCTTCTGGACAAAAGCGCAACATAGAGTGTGTACCAGCAATAGTGCACAATAATACTCGTGCCTACTCCGGCAATTCTGCAACGCGTGCAAGCAAAGTTCCAAAAGTATATTTCCAGGTCTGACTGAGGTCGAGTCGAGCGAAGATTCCGGCAGAGTAGGCGAGATGTTGCTTGCTGACAAGTCGGCCTCCGCGTCCCTGAGTCCTGACTGCCAGTGCCACAGCCGTATGCACCAGTGACCAGTCACCGGACGTGCAAGATCATCATCACCCATGTCGGTACTCTGCCTGGCCTATTTATCTGCTGGTGGTGTCAACTCCGTTGCAGTTTGCCAGCTTGTTTCTTCCTGTACTCGTTCTTCACTGGTTCAGGTGAGCCTAGCTGCTTTTGCACAAAATACTTTGTGGATCCTGTGAGAGATCATGTAACTCGAAAACGAGAGGTTGTTTGAAACAAAGGTAGAATGACAATCACTGCCAGTTCCACATGCACTTCTGACAGGAACTACGACAGACGTCTACGTGGCAGCACCAAAGGAGAGCATGGGATAGGCAACATAACAAGATAGAACATACATGCGCGCACGTGCATGTGTGCGAGCTTGTGTACACGCGCGCACGCCCACACACGCTTGCAAGCGTGTACTCACATGTGTGCGAGTGTGCATGAGTGCACACACACGCACACACACATGTGACTCTCTGTTCGCACACACACACACATACATGTGTGCGAACATGCGCGCATTCTTCACACACGCGCGCACATACACACAGGTGGATGCGCACATGCCAATGCTCACACACACGCATACACGTGTACATGTGCACACACACACGTGTGCGCGCTTGCACGCACATACACACAGGTGGATGCGCACATGCAAATGCTCACACACACACGCGCATACACGTGTACATGTGCACGACACACGCGCGCGTGCGCGCGCACGCACACGTGGATGCGCACATGCAGATGCTCACATGCACACATACATATAAACACACACACTCATGCACGCACGCGTCATTATCTACGAATCTCAGAAACATGCAACACACGGCCAGAAGTTAATCATCACCAGTGAACTTGCTGTGATTGTGGTACCAACAACATGCTGTGCAAGAACGTCACCATCATCGGCTGCTCTGAGGTAGCATTCCAGAATGGCAATTTACAAAGCCGCTGTCTAGTGCCCTACTATCATCTCCACGGAGCAGCAGTCAGAACCCAGGAGATAACTGCTCGGCATAGCTGCAAACATCGCAAAGGTTACAGCACTGGATGCTTCTAGTGCAACGGGTCACCCCAACCCTGTACTATACTTGCTGGTGCATGTCCGAATGTGACAACCCAATCATTAGCGCCCATGTTCTGGACCGTCACTAACGCTTCCGCCCAGGGCCTTATTACAGGCTTTTACGGTACTCGCCGATGCATGTCCGAATGTGGCAACCCGCTCAGCAGCACTACACATGTGAGCAACACGTGGACGTCGTTGGCAGCACAGAGCAGAGGATCGCAAACCGGATGAAGAATGGATACTCTTCTCCATGATGAAGGGATCAAAAACCGTTCAACACAGATATTGCGCTACATCGTCTTGCCTGGATGTATGCGGTGGTGCCGATGGTGGTGCCGATGCATATCGCGTCCATGACACTGTTTACATATCTGCATTCAGCCTTTGTTCACATAAATATGATGCACCGTAGCTGTAGTTTTAAAATGATTATATTCTACATGTTACCGCCACAATTACTGATTGCGTTTGCGGAAATTCCTAAAATATACTACGTCTACTACTACTCAATTTACCACACAAAGGACTGAATGAAGTAGGGAAATAATCATCCCATGATCTTCTACAATGTGAATGCTTCCACGTACGCGCATGTCATTGTGCAGCATCCGAAACTTCAACAAAACAATGATTCAAAGAGACGTTATTCAAGATAAGTCATGCATTTCTACGTTCACTGGTATAATCAAAGATTCCGTTCAAGGCAGCTGCCATGGTGTGTACCTTACCACCTTTAACACACGTTGTCAGTCCGCTCATTGACTAGCATGAAATCGTTTGTAGCAGGAGTACTCTAGTTTGTAGTGAGGATCAATCTACAAAACACTATTGGTAAAAACAATCCAGAGTCACCTGGATGGAGACGGACAGTTCCTACGAGACCTGCCTGTCGACATCAGGGTCAAGTGGCAAGTCATTTAGCCGTTACGCACGACAATCTCAGGAACACCAGTCATGTCCTCCTTCGACGAACCAGCTACTGTATGTTACTTCAGAACTCAGAACGACACAATTATACAAACAGAATGAAAAATGCTTCATCGACGGTGTGACTTTGCGTTTCGCTTCGTGTTTCTTTGTGTTTCTCTTGAAAATCTAGCAAAATTGAGTCATTCGCATGAAAATGTCTGGTTACGTCAGCGAAACCCT